CCCAGTGACAGAGCAGAGTGTTGCTGCTGTAAAGGTGTTTTCCTGGGCCAGCACAGCCCCAGTGACAGTGACTTTGCACCCCCCATACCCCAGGTCTGGGTGTCTCTGTCCTGCCATCGCTGCTCAGCTCAGATTTTACAGTGGAAAGGCCAAGCCCTGCTGGTGTTTGGTGACAGCTCTTCCCTGCTTGGGGCTCTTCTTCCTCCTCTGACTTCAGAACATTTCAGTTCCTTGTTTTTCAGTCCCAGCTACACCCGAGAGCAGCTCACTCTGATCTCCTGTTCCCTCCAGTGTCTCTAACCAAGGTGCCATCCCACGCCAGGGGAACTGTTACAAGCCTTTAATACTGTAATTTAAAGTTTGCTATTTTATTGACTGCAACCTTTAACTACTGGCTATTTTTAAATAAAGTACAAGCACAGTGTGTGTGTGTGTGTGTGGCTAATTATTTCACTTACAACAGCACTAATTCAATGGGAAATCTCACAAGCCAAGCAGGGAAGGGGCTGGAATTCACATGTGCTGTGACCATCAGAGTCCTCAGACACATCTTTTATCTTGTACACTGCACAAAGCAGTTCAAAAATGGATTGCAGCTGATAAGGGAAATCTGCAAGGATTATATCAAAAACTATTAAAAAACCCTATACAAAATCAAAAAATAATATAAAACATATATAAAACAAATGGAAATATAAAATTAAATAAATTAAATATGTAAGTATATATTATAATTCTTATAAATACAAATATAAAATAAATTCCAAAAAAAGTTGTATTTTTCTCATCCCAGTCTCCTAAACCTGAATCAAATCTACTTTCCAGGAGGCCCAAGGGGGGCATGAAGGGGTTGGATTGTGTGGTCCCAGCTGCCAGAGCAGCAGCTGATGGCTGTGACTTCACTGCACAAGACAGGGGGACTGGGAATTGTTGCTGAAATGGAGAAACAATCAAGCACATTCAGGCCTTTTGTGCAGCAGGGCCTGCCCAGAGCAGGACCAGCAAGGGAAGGCTCTGACCTTGCAGAAAGCCTGGACTTGGCCAAAATTAGGTGAAGAAAGTGTGTTTTATGCAATAAATAGAGTAATAAATAGTTTTGTGTCATACTGAGTGTCACTGTCCCAGCAATGGGGGTTACTGCTCTGGCCAGGGACAGCAGGAGTTTGTCACCAGCCAGGCAGGAGAAGATGGAAAATCCTTTCTAGAGTGCCCTGTAAAACAAATGAACTCCAAAGCAGCTCCATTACCTGCCCAAGGTGTCTCCTCACACTTGTCCAGCACCTGCAGGAGCTGCTGGAAAGGGGTGACACCTTAATGAGGAAACCAAAGGACTCTTAAACACAATTAGTGACAAGTTCCAGGGAGGAAGGGTCTGCAACTTGGTCAGAACGTGCAAAGGCAAGGACACAACAGGCAATTAAACTGCATTTTCAATCTTCATCTTGCTATCCAAATTATCAGAGGTTATTTGGCATCACTGCCCTTTTATTTCTATCCCTGGGCCTTCAAAAACACAGTTAATGCAGCCCAGCTACTCGTACCCAAGATCTGTTTCAACTTGCACAGCAAATCCAGCATTTCTTTTGAAACTCTTGAGCCAAGGCTGTTATCAGACAGGTACCCTCAGAAAAGCCCTGGGTGTATTTTAGTAAAACAGATGCCCCTGTTCCATGAGACCACGTGTCAAAGCCCACTCTGGACATTTGCTCTCCAAACAAGTAACTGTGTGTGTGTTCTTAATTTGATATTCTCCCCCAGTCAAAGTGCTGCTCGACAAATGCAACTTTACAAAAAGATTTTATTGAAAGGATTGAAAAATATTCGTTTTCAACAATATCCAAAACGAGTTCTCAATGCGTTAACAATATGTAACAGGATTTTTCAGCTTTTAAAAATTCAGTACACTGCTTTATTCCGTGCTACACAGTTGTTAATGACTTCAATTTCTACTAGAGGATAATAACTTTTTTAAAAAAAAACCAAATTCATTTACCAGCTTCCATTTTGGCCCTTTGTAGACTGGAAAGGATCTGCAGGGTACAGGGACACCCACAAACCCCTTGTTTTAGAAACTCCTAATCAGCAAAACCCTATTTTTTTTTTTTTTAGTACAGTTTCAACGAGTTAATTCGAATGAGCTACATCAGCAGAACGAGGTTTTATTGCCAACAAACTGAGTGTGCATTTACAGCCTTTTTTTTTTTTTTTTTTTCTGGTTCAGCTCTGAGCAAAAAATTCACCCACGTGACAGCAGCTGAGTATGAAAACCCCAGTTGCTGCTCAGCCTCCCTTCTCCTGCTTGGGAATTACAGCTCGTGGATTAAAAGCCTTGCCAAGGGACTTTGTACACTCAGATAAGTCTGAGATGCCTGAGCACAGCCTGGGCTGTGCTTGGACACAGAGCAGTTGGGATAACTGGGATCAAGGCAGCTTTTGGAAGGAAAAATCAAGCCCCAAGTCAGCCCAGCCTGGGGTGGGTGATGCAGCTCTGCCTCAGCTGAGCAGACACCCAAAAACCTCCTCAGCAGGAAGAACCCTCCCCAAGGAAAACTGCAGCAGCCTCAGAGCCAGCAGTGCAGCTGCAGTGGGTGATAAACTGAAAGAATAAATTCAAAGCCAACCCCTAAGGTGGATCTAAAGTAGTTCAGTACACTTTGATTACAGATTCCATGACCTGTGCACTCTGAAAATCAAAAGTCCGGCCACTTAGTCAAGAATAGCTTTACTATTATAAAAAGCATAAATAAAAAGTGCTGAATATAGTTTTATCTTTAAAAAAATACTAGATAAGGCTCATAAATCATTTCACCTTGCCTCTGCAAAATGATTCCCACTTCCTAGTGTGCCTGGAACTCCACTCCTTTTCCACCTCACCAGACATTTCCCCATACCCTGTTCCTTCTCTCAATTATTGCATGTTTAAATAAAATAGTTTCAAAGCAAAAAAGCCTGACACTTCTACAGTTCAAAAAGTAAACAGTTATCAAATAACTGGATACTCCACCCAGCAAACCCGTAAGCAGCTTCAAAAACAGTGATAAAACAATTACTGCAGATTCAAGTGAAAGAGAAATCCCAAAAGCTTACCTGGATATTCTCCCAGGTACCACAAAATCTGCCTGTTTAGACCAAATCAAACCAATATTCTATTTTACAGCATTTACAAACCGAGTGTTCGTTTCTACCAACACACTTTCACTGTGATTTGAATCCTTAACCAAGAGTTTGCTTCTCTTTTATGGCAAAGTGCTCTCACCTGGATTTAATGAACTCAGACTAGGGCAGCACCCAGAATGGATGAGACATTATTCAGACCATCAGAGGACAAGAGGCCAGGCAGGGTCTGGGAATGAACACACTTCCCATCTCCACTTTGGACCACAAGAAACAACGTAAGACGATCAGGGAAAGTTCACCAGAGCTCCTCACTCCGTTTCCAAGGAAATCCCACCTCAACCAGGAAACCAATTCCACTGCAAGACTCAAACTGCAACAGCTCCTGCCCACTCCTTCACCAGCCGATGCAGCAAGACTGAAAAATGCTAAAGTTTGGGTAATTAATGATCATGAGACTGCACCACAGAGAACATAAATGTAAACATTATCCTGGGGTTTGCTGGTTCTCAGGTAAAGTACAGGGCAAACCCTTTTTTTATTTTTTTTTCCCCCCCAACCAGTTCTTCTGTTGGGTTTTTTTTTGTTTTTGTTCTTTCAGAAAAAAAGCACAGACGATAAAATATGTACAGAGAGAAGTTAGAAACCTCTGAAAGCATCTTAGAAAAGGAAAAACACGAGACTCAGAATAATCTTGAGCGCTGAAGGCACCGTTGCTACTCCACTGGGAATGTGTCCTCTCCAATTCTCCAGCCACCAGAGCAGTATCCCATCCTGTTTTACTCAGCACCAAGAGCTGGAAGGGATATCCATGGAAGTTGAGGGCATTACAGGATATTTTCCTCAAGACAGTAGTGGAACTAGACAATGTTGTAGCAATTGAAGTCCAGATTCTTCCTGACCACTTGGAGGACATTTTTTTTGGTGGTCTCTAATGTTGTTCCAGGGAATCAAACAAAAAGAATCAGAAAAACACAACACGTGGATGATTCCCAGCAGCAGGAACTGCAGAGCTCTAAAAGCAGCTCAGCTAAAAAACCAGAGATACCTGCAATAACTAATAATATTCATGGGTATTTCCACAGTGCTGACAGCCAAGGGTCAGCCACTGTTCAAATGGGCACAAGAGACAGAAATGTATACGTAAAAAATAGATACTTTTTTGTGCTAGTTCCATCTATCAATAAAAAAACATCCTCCAGGGGTGTTTCTTCAGTGTGTCACATCTGAGAGTAAGAGAGTGTTTTCTGGGCCAGATGTATTTAAGCTAACAAAGAGGAGAGATTATCTTTTTTTTTTTTCTTAAGAAAACTTCTTAGAGCCTTTATATTCGTAGCAGTGTTCAATGGAATTACAAATATACTGAATAAAACAGGCTGTTTGAATGCCACTCTCCTGGGGTGCATCTACATTCATGCCCTGGGTAAGGGAGAGGCTACAATCAAAGCTGCAGATGTGGTTGTCACTCTCAACCAGAAAGAATCCAGTTTCCAGAAGGAAATTCACCCTGGACTACAACAACCAGAGCCCAGTTTCTTCCATCCC